TGTCACAGAAATAATTTGCACTGTCTTATGCGCTTACAAAGATGAAAATTAGCATAATGTATTAATGTTGATAACAAAATTATTTTATCTGGTACCAATCTAAGCTCTTCTTTCCTTAGATTTTAGATGTGCTTGCAAAGAGAGCCACATTTCACACTGAAGGGTGTGTACGGCATCAGTAATGTTATGTCAATTCCAAGAATGTTTAAGATTATATCGGTTGATGAGGAATTTATTGATTAGGCATAATGGCAAATTGCATCAATTTATTTTGCAAAAACAAGGTTTCCAGCTTCAGAGGGGGGTGGGGAACATCCCCCTGTCCGCACAAGGGCACACATTGGCGCATAACAGGGGTCTTGGGTCAGAGTGGGTATTTATTTTTATTTTTTTTTTTATTTCAACCATATTTAAAGAGGGTAACCCTTCTAGTTTAGCCCAGCAGGTTAACTGATATTCAGGGGCCCTCTTTAATAAAATTAAAGAACAGTACAAACAACATCATTACAACATAATAATAATAATAATAATAATAATAACCCCCCCCCCAATGAAAAACATTTTTCAAGACCTAGACATGAACAAAACACTGGACACTATCCAACTATAATATAAATTACAGTATAGCATGTTTTATCTTTCAGAAAGCGATGTGTCTGCGAAGTTGGTATGAGGTGGGCCGTGTTTCAAATCCATCTTTGAACCAACGCACTCTTAAATTGAGTGTGGACCTACCACCGTGGGGAAATCCTTGCATTGTGTCAATATATATACAGCCCCATGTCACTCTTCATCTTGTTAAAGAATTTCTCCGCGACTTACAGTTGTATTCGCCGGCAATGAAGATTAAAACTTGTGAGAAAGAGGTCTAGACAAGAGCGAGTCGAATATACATTAGTTTAATTTCCGCTTTTCTTATATAAATTTCAATGTGTAATTGATGTTAAATTTATAGTGTAGCATTGGTATTAATTTATTTTAATAATAAAACATCAGACATTTTCTTATCTAAATTTAAATTTGTAATTATTGTTTTTACTGATCGGTGTTGCTATCTATAATTTAGAAAAGTTGCATAGGCTTATAATAATAAAAAATTAATTAATATTAATTAATATAATATCATATAATATATTATATATTATATTAATGATTAATAAAAATAATAATTAACTTAGCAACTGTACCATTCCTATTTTGGTTGATGATTCTTGAAATTTAATAATAATAACAATAGTATGTAGACCTATTTTATTTTTAGCAAGATTTATAAAAGTTGCATAGGCTTGTTATAACGAGTCGAGTATACAGTAGTTTACTCCCAAATTTCTTATCTAAATTTAAGTTTAATAATAATAAATCAGACATTTTTACCTTGCCAATTAAAAAATCATCAAAAGCGCAAGCAAAAAAAAAGCTAAATAAGAACATTTTGAGATTCTTCATAAATAGAACTAAATTTGAAGACTGAGTGGACAGAAATGGGTAACTGGTTCCAGAGGCCTGACCAGAAAATGAACGTTGCTAGCCCTCTTGGATGGCCTGAGCCGAATAATTTCGTCTGCCCGTTTGTCTGATAGTAATGTTTCTAATATTTTTGAAACTTTTAATAAGCATTTGTGTACGTGTCTGAGATGAAGTTTTGAGAGACATTTATCTGAAGAGCTACAGTATATAGGACTATATTATTGAATAAAATATACAAATACTAGAAAATATAATAATAATAATAATTATTATTATTATTATTATTATTATTATTATTATTATTATTATGATATTTTCTGCGCATAGAGACTCTCGTATTTTGCGCCATATAAATGAATAACCTATAACCTTTAATAATTATAATGATAGTTTAATGAGACTATATGATTAAAAATAAATTGCGTTCTGTTATGACAAATGCTCGTTTAGATAGCCTCATGATGCTTGGAATACATCGTGATAGGTGAATCAACCTCGACCATGACAACGTGGTTGATAGATTTCATGCAAAATTTCCAAAATGTAGAATTTCACTTTCAAGAATGAGGATTTGAAAATAAATTAGATGGTTACATTGCATACTATTTGTTTCTTGCTTTATTCAAAATGTTTTGGTTTTGGAAGCTGATTTTGACATTAGAAAACATAGCCTCCATGAAGTCATATTATAGTAACTCGATGCCTATCAAATAAGTAATAAAAATTCGCCATAATTCGTCACATATCCGTGGCTTCCAGGGGGCGAAGCCCCTGGACCCCGACCGGAGCCCTAGGCGGCCCCCCTGGCCCCAGCCAAATGAGGCTCTCGCTCAACTAACCCCCTACCACCCCCGTCGGGGCAATTAGCCCCTCCGTCGCGGACAGGTCCTGGCGCCATCACTGACCATGGGATGTCCTAATGCTAAGGAAATATAACTAAGAAAATGGTAAGAAAGCAGTAGAACCATTTTTCTACTTCTTATGCGTTCTCCAGCACTTTGAAGCATATATCTTTGCTAAAAGGCTCGCTGTAACAGTACCGTACCAGCAGTTCTAGTAAAAATTACATCTAGCTCTATCCTAATAAAAACAAAATCAGTTGAGATTCAATAAGATTGCCAGAAAACTAAAAAAACAGGACAAAAATAATGACATGGAAATGTGTTTTTCATCTGTGTTATTCATGTTATTTAATTTGTGTGGGGAAAAACAACAAAATATCTTAGTATTTTCCTTTGAATTTTAGAGGCTTACATCAACAGGGGCGGATCCAGTAGCACAATCTTTCGCGTTTGAATAATTCTGGATCCTTCCCTGATGAAAGAGAAACAACAAGTGATATTCGAGATCATAATAAAAACAAAAAACAAAAATAAAAACAAAAATTCCTAGGCCTATATTTCGATATTCGGCCCGCGGGCCGCATGCCGCGTGGCCTGACAATGATTTTTTGCGACCCGCGAAAATGAATTAAAAACCCTATTTGTCCAGCCCGACAAGCAACATTGGCTAGAAACACATTATTATTGTATTTTACAGCCCGACACCGATCTGTAAAAAGTAACATTAAAACTGAGAATAAAGTCTTGCCTGGAGTTTTTTTGGAAGCACACTGGAAACATCAAAGTTTGGTGCGGCCCTCTTAAATCAAAAACTCACTTTGGCCCTCCGACCGATGTTTATGCCCACACCAGGGACAAAATGCGAGCCATATGTTTTCATACTAAAGGTTGCTTTCTAAGACAATTGCATAATTTTTTTATTCGCAAATTGATTTTACACCAAACTATCACCATCGGAGAGAATTATCAGTGCTGCCATCCTAATATTGAACAGCAACTCATTATTTCTTGACATTAATAACAATTTAAATGATCCTGTAAAATAATAGTGTATCTCAGTGGCGTATCTAAGGGGTACACGCCCCTTCAAAAATCAACCCCCCCCCCCCTCCCCCCCTGTTCTTCAGTCGCACGCATCGGGCCCATCCAATTAACCTTCGCGCCCCTTCATCAGCACCCCTATTTCAATTTAAAAATGAATATGAGCCCTATATAAATCTCATTTATTAATTTTATTATTATTACAAGTAATTGTTATGTTATCTGGAGGTCGACCGAGGGTTCGATTCCCATCCAAATTTTTTCACAAGTATTTGGGAACGTACTGAGTATTGGTTACTATAACACATCAGCTAGTGCAAAAAATCAATCAAAACTTCAATATTAATGTCTCCCCCTCCAATTAAAGACCACTTTTTGGGACCGGGGTTTCCATGGTCTTTAGCAACATTGGTTTCTAATTAGAATAATGAAAATAAAAGATATTTGATAATTTGGGACCACAGTAAAAGTGGTCTTTAATTGGAGGGGTCTTTTATTAGAGGGAGACTTGTATATTATTATCATTATACAGTACTGTATACGGGCTCTAAAGGACTGGGCAGGTGGCTGGCTGTGTGCGTGTGTAGAGACGACAGAGCAATCGGTCGAGCGCCCTCTTCAGTTTTCTGACCTTTTCACCCAAAATGTCGAAGAGAGGTATTTAGTCAAAAGTAGTCTAAAAGACAATCCATTTTCATCTTAAACTAGGGCTCGGATTTTGTATATAATAGTATTCCTGTTTAATGTTTATCAATTCAGGAACACATATTGCGTAATTTTGTTGTATCAAATTCATTAAATGTATTGTGTGGTATAATGTTAGGCAGAACAACCCGGTGGCTGTTTACGTTACAGTGCATAATGCTGCCTGTTTGTAAGGACTGTTGGTTGTTCGTGACCTAGGCCTAGTTCTAGGCCCTAACTAGCTTAGAAATTGTAAGAACTTAATAGAGTGTGTTATCAGTTTGATGTTTACTCTTGTAAGAACGTAAACATCCACATTTAATTATATGAAATAGGCTAGGGCGTAGGCCTAGCCTATATTGTTGAAGATACAGAAGAAAGCCTAGCTTATGTACAGTATGCTAGCAAGTTAGTAGTCTAGGCTAGGCCTCTCTCTAGGGCCTGTCTAGCCTAGGCCTAGAGTAAGTACTATACTTATGGGTCTATCTAAAGTCAGAGAAGCACTAACCAAGGCCCGTTGTCTAGGCTAGGCCTACTTATTCTAGCTAGGGGCCTAGATAGGTGTACAGTATTTGTTTGTTTTTTTTTTTATACAAAAATACTTTAAATGCCTAAGGCCTAAAGGTTAATAATGGTTAGTCTACTACTGTGTAGCTGCACAGAAATAAAATGCAATATACTTGACCAGTCAAGTTAAACTACCATTCATTACCAAAGCATTTCATATCTCATTCCTTAGGACGAGGTGGTTCAGCTGGGTCCAAGTTCCGCATCTCACTGGGTCTCCCAGTGGGAGCAGTAGTCAACTGTGCAGATAATACAGGTAAGTGTAAAGCCCTGTCTAGACTATCAAATTTTGATTGACAAAAACATGTGACATGCCTAAATATGGGCATGATGACATCACATCATGACCATATATATATATACGCACATCATGACTATGTATGGGCATACAAACAACAGATTTTGTCAAAGAAAATTAGATTGTATGAGCGCTAGTAACTGAAATATTTTGTGTTGATGCATTTTGAGATTCTTTCATTGATTTTTCTCTTTATTGTGGTGATAAATAACATCAGTACAGCACATACAAAAAGGTAATCTGAGATTGATTATAAACCCTTACCATGTTGAGCCATATCTATACTGAAAGATTTATGGGATTTAATTGCACAGCAACCAGACCACTTCATCATAGGCCTCGCATGGAAAGCCCATCAATCGACTTGAGTCTGCTCGGCCTAGACAAACAAGGTCAAATGATCCACTCAAGTTGGCTGTTACAGCCGGAACATATATAAATAACATTTTAAAATCTCCATCTTACTTCCGATCAGCACCAAATTAACATAACATTGTCAATGTTTGAAAATTTGTCTAGTTTTTGAGTTTTGCACCCGGAAGGACAGACACACAAACATGCATATTTGCAGTACCTTTCACCTTTCCTTCGGAGAGGCGATGGTAGTTAATACAAATCGATAAATGATTATACCTGAGCACATACATTATTGTTTGGAGTCTCGGGTGAGACAGGACTAGAAAATCTAGCTGATCACTGGACTGGTGGTTAGAATCGTCGAGCATTTCCCTGGGGGATTTTTTATTTTATTTATTTATTTTTTTTTGCTTTCCAGCTGTTGGACTTTGTCTAACTCGAATAATTTCTAAGTCAAACTAGTTTTGCATGCCAAATTGTTGTGTTTTCCATTAATTAACGATCTGTAAGTCGAATTTTATCTAAGTCGAACAATTTTTAAATGGCATTTTGGATTCGACTTGGGCAAGTTCAACTGTAGTTTGCAAATAAAATGTTGGTGCTTGGGGCATACAGTAGAAGCTCACTATTACGTACCTCAGTTATACAAACCCTCAGTTTTACGTATGCCTTCTACGGACAATGACGTAATCAAAAACCCCCAAAACAATCGGCCCTTTTCAGGGCCACCATAATGTAAATAGAGATTTGATAGTTTCTCTCTGCTTACTGTATTATTTCTGCTTCAGCTGAATTTTGCAGCCAGGCTTGTTTCGCTTACTCCGAAGCGTCAACGTATTATTCCTACAGTACTCCTATTACATCTTCATTGGCTACCTGTTTAGCAACGTATACACTTTAAAATTATTCTTTTCGTCTACAAGTTTCTTCATTACATGCAGTCGCATACTTAGGTCCACATCATCTAGTTCAACCACTCTTTATTGTCCTTCTGGTCAGTTGAAAACCTATGGTGATAGATCCTCTGTTGCTGCACCAAAGTTGTGGAACAAATTACCCAATTTTGTAAGGTCTTCTCCATCTTAGACCCTTTTTAAATCCTGGCTTAAATCACACCTTTTCTCACAATTCTAATCTGTTTTGTTCTTGTTGATTTCTTTTTCTTTTTTTTTTTTTGTCATGCCTCTGGGTTTGAAAGCACATATAAATAGAAAACCATGACCATTTACAATGTTTATTATAACCGTGATTAAACACTTTGTATCTATTTCTCATATTTTCTGTAGGAGCCAAGAACTTGTTTGTGATTGCTGTAAAAGGGATCAAAGGTCGTTTGAACCGAATGCCAGCAGCTGCTTCTGGGGACATGATAATAGCAACAGTCAAGAAGGGAAAACCAGAACTCAGGAAAAAAGGTTAGTAATTAAACCGGTCCTGTTTGATGGTTGTTTTTGAGTTGTGAGTGGGCTAGGTGTAAGCATATTGCAAGTGCACACCATTGTGCTTGTTTACTAGGCCTCTGCCACACAGCCCCTTCCTGTACATAGGAAACCCTCAATTATGTACGGTAGTACCGGCCCAGAAGCATTCCTAAATGTGAATCATAATGATAAAACTTCTGATAAAAACCTAGAGTCACTAATCCTTTGTTTGGTTTTCAGGGTGGTGGCAGCTCTAAGATAATAATTTATGGGGGGGGGGGGCTGGGGCTAAGATATCCAACTGTAACTATAGCCGGAGGTCCGAGGCAGGGGTGGGTATGGGAGGGGGATGTCGCCTCCTCCCAAACTATTGGGACTTCTAGACTAGTAGATGGCCAGAAATGGCTGGGATGGAAAAAAATGTTTTCCTTTTCAGTCCGACTGCTCAACGAGCTTTGGCCAATGGGGGACTGAAGCCCCTCCCCCTTCCCTCAGTTTTATAATGCTTTATGTTTTTAATGCTGAACAGTTATGTTTGGGCCAAATTCATTTTAAATATTTATGTTCTTAATCTTACAGTAATGCCTGCGGTGATCATTCGGCAGAGGAAACCTTTTAGAAGACGTGATGGGGTGGTTTTATACTTTGAAGACAATGCTGGTGTCATAGTAAACCCCAAAGGGGAGATGAAAGGTAAATTAGTAGCCATGTTATACGATGAGGTCTCTGGTATTATGTCATTCCCCACTCCCAAAAAAAAAAACCCAGAGTAGACTTAACAACTGCACTACTGTATTTCAGATTTATATACAGTATAGTAATTAGATTGATCCAGGTTTCTCCCTCACTGTCAGGCTCACAAAGACGAGGCATTAGCAAAATGTCAGCCTGTTATCTCCCAATATTATAGAGTCATTCCACTTCAAATCAACCAAATTTTGGGATTTTGGGTCTTTTTTTTTTTTTCTCATTTTACGTTGGAGTATGTGGCGTAGCGTGTAAGGCCCAATGATGGTCTCATTGCTTGTGTCCTTATGCAAGACACTTTACTTACATTTGCCTCTCTCCACACAACAGTATAAATGGGTACTTGGTAGGATAGTATGGCATTGAATATGAGTTATATAATTAGTTATATAAGAGTATGTGTGTAAAGTAGCATTACTAGGGATACTCCCCAGGGAACAGAGTAAGTTGCACAGAATGTTTCAGTTTGCCAACTCAGTATCCAGTGAAAAAAATGATGCAGTTTATATTCTCTAGATTGAGATAAGTGCTATATAAATTCAGATTCTAAAAAGAAAAAACATAAGAGGGCCTGAAATGAATTTAGACTCCTATCTGGGAATTTTTAGTGCTGCCACAGTTTCAAACCTAATATTTAGGAAACTATAATCTTGGCAAGTTAGTAATTCTCATCACAATTCAACAATTGCTGTTTCTGTCTTTCAGGTTCGGCTATAACTGGTCCAGTGTGTAAAGAATGTGCTGACATGTGGCCTCGTATCGCCAGCAACGCCGGAAGCATTGCCTAGCATTCCCTAGTTAATAAATATACAACTATCCACACTTGGCAGAAATTAGCTTGCGTCAACTGTAAATTTAATATGACCAGACCATAAATTAAACAAAAACCCACGATTTCACTTGTGCTTTTATAGTGTTTTATTTCTAAAACTTTGTCAAGTTCTTATAACTCCCATAATTGAACTAGTGGCGGATTAATGGAGGCCCAGTCATACCCCTTAGTGGAGCTGAGGTAGTCTCCATCTGTGAAAGCCCCTCTGGGCCCTATCAATTCTGGAAGCTGCCACTGAATGAGAATTTGCAGCAGTTTATTTTATTTTAACATCCAACAGCCTGTACACTTATCAGTAAAAAGAGTGGTGTATCTAGGGGGTGCGCACGCCCCTCCAAAAATTACTCGCTCCACTAGTCACCCCCAAAAAACTACGGTCAAGTAGATAAAAATCACCTTATTTTGCAAATTAGCTCCCTCCCCTTCAGCTGATCATCGAGGTCCCCCCCCCCCCCCTAGACTTCTAGATACTGCACTGTAAAAAGATGGGATGATCCTCTATAACAGAAGTCGCTTAAGGAGTGGGACAAGATTTAAGTCAGTTTCTGATGCGGTTACTTCCTTGTTAATAAACAATTTGTTGCATATATAGTGCTTATTCCTTGTGATTACAAAGCGCTAACTGGGCTCCACTGGATAAATGATAAAATATGAATTCAGTGCAAAAACTACCAAACCCAGCCCCAGGGATGTAGTTATGATGGAAGGATGAGCCACTGCCTTGAGGTTTTCCAAATGTCGAAAGCAAATTTCATGGCTCTCCACCCACTTTTATTAACCCAGTGCCCATCCTTAAAATCTACTCTTATTAGGCCTAAAAAAAAATAAATGTTTGCCCTTTAATGCTGGTAATTGTATAGGAGGGCGAATTAACATTAAATTGCAGTGCTTGAAATTAGTACAGTATTTGCTTTTCAAAGGGTATTCATCAGACTAAATAAAAATAACCAATAATCAATATTTTGTAATGAATATAGGCCTAGAAGGGCGATATTTTACACAAGACACCAAATTTAGACAACTTTCATGTGCAAAATGGAGAAGAAAAGATCACTTCCTTAAATTAGTGAACAAAAATTTTTTAAAACCCCCCTATTTTTCAGTGAGTTAGGGGCGGGCGCTGGAGGGCAAACAATTTGTTTAGGCCTTATCTAGAGTGTACCAATGTTATCACCCACCCACTCTTAAAATGTTTCCTACAGCTACAACCCTACAGAACATTAGTCAAGATGCAATGTAATGCAAGATGTTTTTTAAATTAAAAACAAATGTGCTTAGTCCCCTGAATGTTACAGTGCTCCTTCATCAACTGAGTTCACAATTAGATGTAAACATCTCACCGGCTTGGGTCTGCTGCTGCTACTAGCTAGACTGTGAAGAAGTAACCCCTTACTCCTTTACACTTAACACAAATCATACTGTATTTTCTACAACACAATTTACAATTCTAATTTAGAAAACTTTATTATATATACAGTATATATTTATAAGAATTCCAAGTAAGGTGGTTTTTAAATCAAACAAATGTAGTCTGTTCCTAAATTCAATCTTTCTTTTTTAGTTCTTCATTCATTTCTTTCAGTCCCTCCTGCACTTCTTTCATAAATGTTCTGCTGAATGTTGATATCTTATTCTCATCCTGTGACTCGGTCTCTGAGAACTTCCTTATACTCTCAGACTCGGCTGCTTTTTCTATTGCTTCGTGACCTTCATTGAGAAGAAAAGACACTGGATTAAAAACAAATAATGGAGGGCCAACTGTATTATCTTCCTCATGACTACAAGGCAGACCTCTGAATTTCCCAGAAATTTACCAGAATTTATGATCATGAATTTTGAAATTTCTGAACCTATAGAGTACAACAGTCGTGTCGTCACAACACCAGGTGGCGCCCTTTGTTGTCAACCAGATGTTGACTTCATAGTCTTAATGGTTTAGAATAGGCTTTCTGGAATAGGCATTTTAAAACCCAATAATTTATTATCAAAATGTACTAAATTAACACAAAAGCTCGCATTATATTAGTTATCGAACACACCATCAACCAAGATACATCATCTTAATAATTGGGATCAATGATTTGTCAGTGGGGAAAATGGCATCTGGTTGAATGCATTTTGTGTCGCTGATAGCAACAGAGTGGTATCACATGGTATTGTGACGTAACACTGTCACTAGCACTCTATATGTATATTTTCAAAATTTAAAAACTTTTCCTTAACAAATAGGTCATTTACAGCTTCATGCCTTTGCTGCAACACCCATTTGCAATCTGTAGGCAACTTTTGGTATACCTGTACATAATCAAGGGTATCGCCCATGTGAGAATGTTTTGGTGAACACAATACATGAAATTTGCTTTTCCAGTGCAATGTATACGGTAGTAATAAAGATATAGAATACTAAAATGTAAAAATACAAAACCCCGATTGCAGTGTGAAACAGAGTGGAGGATAACAAATTAATGTCTGAAGACTTCTTTTGAGTGGGGTCCTTCTGTGCATCTCTTCCTAAAGACACACACTTAAATTTCAACCTGCATTTCAGGCCTCCAGTTGAAACAAGAGCAGCTATAGAATTGCAGCAGGGACCCAAAGTTTACAAGATCTCTGTGGTTCATTGTGCACAGAGTGGCTATTACCAGTTTAAGCTACAGTATGAGCTATGCTCTTAGAATTAGTAGGACTATAAAGGACGCTATAACTTGCCTAAGTCGAATAATTTCTAAGTCGATCTTATTTTACATGCCAAATTGTTGTATTTTAATGAACAATCTAAGTCAAATTTTATCCAAGTGGAGTAATATTATTTCAATGGCATTTTGGATTCGACTTGGGCAACTCTATACCTATTTCTTGTGCTTTATTCATGGAGTATGCAGTCATCTGGGCAATCCGTCTCATTACTCTCGACTCGGAGAGCTGCAAAGAAAGCAAAAAAGGATGAGTAAACTGAATAAAATATATGGAAATATAATAAATGTATATTATCAAAATAAATATATAATAAACAATAATTGTTAATTATAAAATTGTGATTCTTTCAGTGCACTTAATATACATAGTGCTTAAGAACTAGAATTACTGTACTTGACTATTCAAAAAGATAATCCAATTGAGAACAATGCATTCATTTATAAGAAAGGGGGGAGATAATAATGAAATGTTTTTTCCCAACAATTAGTTTATGATGACCAGTGGCATATACTGTAGAAGTCTTGAAATAGGGGAGGGGTGAAGGTGGAGCAGGACCTCAATTATCAAGTAAGGGGCACTAGGACACAAACAATAACATTTTACTACTTAAGTGTGATTTTTTTTTGCTTTCGACATTTTCCTCTACATAGGCCCTGCTTTATTCGCAGTATGATGAACAGAACCAATTGTCTTTCCGCTAATCGATGAGGGGCTAATTTGAGTTGTCCACCTGAAAATGTTGATAGGTCACTGCTGGAATACTGTAGTAGCTATTAAGTACAGTATTACATTATTCAAACTTATTTACACTTACATTTTATAAAACAATTTTATAAAATAGTTTAATTAATTAGGCCTAGTACAGTACCTGTACATACCTTTTCTATAAGTTGCTCATTATTAGCCAGAAACCTGAAATTATATCAAAATGAACTGGTAAATTTAATTTGTTTTTTCTTCATTTTACTAAATACTAAACATTAATGATGTTCATAGACTATAGTAGTAGGACTTCAGTAATAATTAAAAATCAGATTGCAAAACGTGTTGGTAATTACAGTACTAATATAATATTAATAAACAATTTCTTGAAGGTAAAAACACACACATTGTGACTGTCTACTTTTATTTAACACTAAACAGTAAAAATTCTGCCAATAAAGTGGAGTTTTTTTTATAATTTGGGGCCTACATAGGGCCTAGGCCTATATATTATATATATGGTCTTCTTGGTTGATTACTAACTATACTACTACTAGGCCTAATTGGACAGATCATAAAATAGGTAGCAATAAAATAGGTAGTACTGTAGTACCAGGGAGTTGGTATTACTCTAGGCCTAGTAGTACGTAGTAGTAGTAGTGCGAGCAGCAGTAGTACTAGTAGTAGTAGGCCTAGACTAAATACATAGAAATAAAAAGGATTTGGACGATAAAGTTCTTTGGCTTACATACCTTAGAAGTCTGAAAATCATGTTAGTTTTAAACTCAATCTTACAAACTCATTAGTTTAGCCTACTCTAGGCCTAGGGGTCTGCATTCTCCTGCCGACGGTCAAAGTGAAATCTTGGCCTAGGTAGTTACTAGTGAAATGATGATAAACATTACGTCATATCAAAGAGAGTATAAACCAAATGCATAGAGGTATAATATAATACCTCTATGCATTTGGTTTATACTCTCAACTAATACCACAGATAGAGGGCTCATTTTCATAAATATTATGGAATTTAAAAATGATTAATAATAATTTTAGACTGGCATGCCTCTCGACCTATATTTGGTGGAGCCAACTGCATCAAAGAATGAGGCCGCATAACAACAGTTGCGTTTCTGTAGAACGCAAAGTATACGGTAATTGTTATATTTTGCTGATTTTTCACTGATACTATCCTATATTGAAAAATGGAGAAAATTCCTTGCGGCACCGTTTTGGTTGACTGCATTACAGTGTATATATAAATCAACTTCCTAAACAAAAATAAGTGCAAATAATAGCAGAAGTATTTTTTTTTTTTTTTTTTTTGGCGCGGGAGGGGAGTGGCCTCCCCCAGCCCCAATCGAAACCTGCTCTGTCCGCCAGGATTCTAGAGTATAACATCCATTTTTACACTATTATTGCTGACTCCATTTTTGCCGACATGTTAGGACTACTTTTAATATTAAATGTATTCGAAAAATTAGTAAAATATGATATTTCATAGAAATAGGCATCGTATTGATATCATTTTATGTTCTCAGCTTAAGTTGATGACATTTGCAAATAATAATAATGAATGCCTTGTGTTTTGTTTGTTTTGAGTTTCCAGAGACGAGAAGAAGAAGAAATACCGTAAAACCTCGAATTTTCGAAGCTCTGGGCTTTTTTTTTTTTTTTTTTTTTTTAATGGGCTTTTTTTGAGATGGGCCGCTTCTTAAGCTTTTCGAGGCTACTTTTGCAAAGTAAAGAGGGGATTCTTTTCAAAATGAATTTTGTAAATTTTGTTAATTTGTACCGTACTACAAAACAATAAATAAGGCCACTGTAACATCAATCTGTATCATGGAGTGTATTTAACTGGCATTAATAACCTAAACTACTTTATAAACCAAAGCTTGTATTTAATTTATTTTGTTTTCTGAAATTTATGTAGAGTGTATATACTGTTCTATCTCGAAAAGAAGCCTATGCTATCTTGAAAAGAAGCCCATGGGCCTCTTTTCGTGGTGGGCTTCTTTTCGAGGCTAATTTTGCAAACTAAAGAGGGGGGGCTTCAATTCGAGATGGGCTTCATCTCGAGATTAAGCCTACTGGGCTTCAATTCGAGGTTTTTACGGTATTGACAGCTATTTCCATTGGACAAATTCAATGGAATCTGAATCTGAAAAATGTATTCACATTACCAGTTACACCGAGAGGCCGGGGCAACCGGGAAGAGTGCCCCAGGGCCCTGGATAAAAAAAAATAAATAAAATAAAAATAAAATAAAAAATAAAAATAATAAAATAAATAAATAAAAATTATTAAACGTATACATTCATCCAGTATTATTATTCATGTGTTTTTCCGACAAGAATTGTAAATAAAGCTGACCGTTTATCGGTGAAAACTCGTAATAATTCGCTTCTAATCTTTTTCATGAATATTTTCATGACTTCAGGCATACTACTCTAGAGTTTATGTTTGCAATGTATCAAATAGTAAATTCTTTGCGTTATATTAGTTAATAGTTATCAGAGGCTTGGTCCCTAGACATCTTCAATATAAATAGGTCTACAATGTTGAAAATACAAAAAAAAAAACAGTGATAGATATTCTATTGTCAAATTAATACTGAATTAATATATTAATCCAATGGCGGAATTAAGGGGAGGCCTCACCCCCTAAATTTTTCAAAATTAAAAAAAATTGAGAAGAAAAGAAAATTCAATTCAAATTTAAGTCTAGGAGTGTGAATTTCCGGCCATCCAGAGGTGCCATCGATCATAAGCGCTGCGCCAAACGTGATTTTTTTTTCGTTAACTCGCAATAAGCGCCTCCCTCGGCGCGTAATCGAGAGTTATATTAATATTCCCCTGTGTGTAATGAAACACTTTGAGAAGCAGGGTTTTAAATACAATGTATACAGTGCTAAAATGAATAAATAACACAATGAAGACACAAGCATTTCTTTATAAACGTTTATTTACGATGGCGTAGGACCTGCGGGAACACGTGAAATAGGTAATATGCCAGGAACAGCTGGCATTGAAAGCGCCACGCCAGTTAGGCGCCGCTCTCCCCGCGCGCACTAAAGCCCCAAAAAATGTTTATAAGCGCCGCTCGGCGCTTATGAGCATTATACAGTAATCATAAATTTTCTTACCTCAGATAGACCCTCCATTTCTGAAAATACGGTACTTTTCTGCGCTCCCTCTGTTTCAAATTCCTGGCCGCCACTGTAAACTTTGATACCCAGGCCTACCGTATGTTATGAATCTTTTCAGCTCTACGTTTAATAAAAGGAAGGATAGAGCTTTCATGTTTCAATATTTTTTCATAACCTGGTGAAATTAAGCACTTATAATCGATTAAATTAATCCTCTTTAATCAATTAAAAGGCCATAGCTTCCGGTGGGAGCCGTCCCCGGCCTCCACCAGAGATTTTTTCCCCTCCTCCCTGACGGCCGCTCTCGGCGGCCATGCACATTACCTTTTAAATAAAAAATAAACTGAAATATAAAATTCAATAATTCGTTTAGCTTCAAAAATACATTTAATTTGTTCTACTGTATAAATATTTATTTCTAATATAATTATGTATACTAATTAATTATTTAAAATATATTAGCCTCAACAGATTTATATGCTTAATATAATAATGTGATACTTTAATCATTATGTTTTTATATTATTTTGTATTATCTTAGTAGTCATTAGTGAGAGGTTACACCTATTTGGTGACAGTGGTTTAGTAGGCTGATTTTGTGCTTTTCTGGCAGTTAATGGCTGTGGTCAGTGTCCTTTTATTTATTATTTTTTACTGGTTTTTTTTTCGACTTTCCACTGAAGTCATATAGATACATAAAAAATGCCAGTGAGAGAACATGTCAACAGGTGCAAGCACATCCTCATAATTTACTTGTTAATTTTATGTTCGTCTGATTTCTTTATTTTATATTTTGTATAATATTGTATCTTTTGCCTAAATAACTAAATAAATAAATAATAATAATAATAATAATAATAATAATAATAATAATAATAATAATAATAATAATAATAATAATTTTTTCAATTATGTTCTCTAATGTCTGCATTGTTTAATTTCCTGTTAAGGCAGATTTTTTCGTAACATCGTAATAATAATAATAATAATAATAATAATAATAATAATAATAATAATAATAATAATAATAATAATAAATTCAAAAGACTATTTTTATTGTTTGTAACATTTATTTATCCTTTTAGAATTTGTTTCTCCAAGCTATCAGGTAGTTTGTGTGTAAATACATACCGTATCAGTAGCGGCGCTACGGGTTGGGAAGCATGGGGGAGTTTTTTTAAAGAAATTTTCTTCCTCCCCCACCCCCAACCACGATATCAATCGCTTCGTCGCAGGGCAGTCGAAATCCGGTAGTGCGCAGAGTGGAAGAAAAGAATACTGTAATTTCCAAATGTTTGGATGAATAAAGTGATGTCTAGTGTCTATTCAGCCAAGAATGACGTCACAACGCAGATTTGTTTACCTCATTTAATTTCTGGCAGGTTTGCAGCAAGGACATACAAATCAATAAATTACTTATTGATTCCAAATTTGGCATATGTTTTTGGTTTTTATTAGGTATATATGACCCTAAAACGTCATATTCCAGCTACAGTATACTTCCACAATTAAGACACTGGCGCTAGCTAGAGCTTTGCAAAATTCGAACGGCATGTGCCTGGGACGACATGTCAGTGCGCATGTGCATACAAAAACTTGTATTTTTTAAGTGCACTTCCTTGTTTCCTTATTCTCGTCGTGTGGAAGAAGAACTTGGAGGGAGAAAGAAGTAGCTTTGTTTTTATAGGATTTGGTAAGAGGATATTCATGCATCTTAAAATAGTCAAGATAGTGAATGTAGGGGCCGAATGTAGGCGTATCCATCATGTAGTACATGGCGTAGGAATGAAACTTTCGTGATTTAAACTTGACTTTTAAAAATGAACCTACCTCAGTACCTACCTAGGGAGTAGGCCCATGTCGGCCGCTGCCAGGCCTATAGCGGCCGCCCTCCAGAACGGCCGCCAATTCGTGTATATGTATGGAACGCCGATGACGCATTCACAATTAATAATACAATACCGCTCGCTAAATACAAAGCTTTCGAGTCAACTAGGCCCCAGTCAACTCGGCCCTCTTTTTTATTTTATATATATAGGCCTACACACTATATAAAACTACTTAAAAACTAACTATTGAAAAAATAAGAAAATTGAAGTCACATTAAGAATTGTAAACATCATAAAAATAATATAATAAAACCATTGCTCCAATCAAAATTTCGATAGATTGAAGTTCTCCAATAAAGTATGGTATTCGTTTCTTATTATATATAAAGCTAGTTTGGATTTTATCTATTATATCATAATTTATATATAGGCCATATTTAAATATGTATACATATATATAATTTATATAAAAATAGGTTGAAAATTGGTTTCCTCCACTGAAGTATTTCTAAAGTTCATACATATGGTTTTTGTTTCTTAATTCTATATACTCAAATATGTACACGATTCATGCCATCGATTCAATCGTTTGTTACTCAGTAAAAAGCAACAATACTAATATTGTTTCATTATTTATTATATAGGCCACATATATATTATATCATGATTTATATATAGGCCACATATATTTAAATATGTATCATATATAATTTATATAAGAATAGGTTGAAAATTGGTTTCCTCCACTGAAGTGTTTCTAAAGTTCATACATATGATATTTGTTTCTTAATTATTTAATAATTTATATAAGAATAGGTTGAAAATTGGTTTCCTCCACTGAAGTGTTTCTAAAGTTCATACATATGATATTCGTTTCTTAATTATTTATACTCAAATATGTACACGATTCATGCTATCACTGAAGTGTTTCTAAAGTTCATACATATGATATTTGTTTCTTAATTATTTAATAATTTATATAAGAATAGGTTGAAAATTGGTTTCCTTCACTGAAGTGTTTCTAAAGTTCATACATATGATATTTGTTTCTTAATTATTTAATAATTTATATAAGAATAGGTTGAAAATTGGTTTCCTTCACTGAAGTGTTTCTAAAGTTCATACATATGATATTTGTTTCTTAATTATTTAATAATTTATATAAGAATAGGTTGAAAATTGGTTTCCTTCACTGAAGTGTTTCTAAAGTTCATACATATGATATTTGTTTCTTAATTATTTAATAATTTATATAAGAATAGGTTGAAAATTGGTTTCCTTCACTGAAGTGTTTCTAAAGTTCATACATATGATATTCGTTTCTTAATTATTTAATAATTTATATAAGAATAGGTTGAAAATTGGTTTCCTTCACTGAAGTGTTTCTAAAGTTCATACATATTATATTCGTTTCTTAATTATTTATACCCAAATATGTACACGATTCATGCTATCGATTCAATCGTTTGTTACTCAATAAAAAGCAACAATGCTAGAGTAGTAGGGTTAAAAGTTAACGTTACCACGGAGACGTTAATTGATATCTTTTGTTTTATCTGATGAAGCAAGTATCTTCATTGTCTAGCCAGAGTGAGTTGATAACTCCCTACTCCAGTAGTTGTGTAACCAAAACATTTTGTTAGAAATCGTGTATGAGAAAACATTTACTAAAAAAATAGAATAGGCCCTATGGCAGTTTACAAAACAAGACTTTATTATGTTCTTGAAAGAACGTATGGCAAAATACTTTATTATTAAGATTCATTGTTTTATGAAGTAGTTTTAATAGCTCATAATTTTTAGTTGAGAAATGTTTATTTTATCCTGCAAAATATTCTAAGTTGAAACTTTATTGCTTAGAAGAAATTTAATTTAACTATAGCTGTAACTTATCAAGAAACTTGATTGTATCTTAGAATAAAGTATATAATATAATAAATTAATCCTGCATTATAATTATATATGTACGATTAAATAAGCGTACCTATTGCAAGACGATTATACGTTCCAGATAAAAGTGATTAATTGGTTACCGTATTTAAATAATTAAATAATAATTAAATCTAGGCATGAATGGAAATACATTGCTTTAAATATGTATCAATTTGCCAGTACTAAGTTGCCTAGTAATAATTAATTCAGTGAGAAACGTTAGTAGTAGGGTCCAATGACACTCTTGGGAGAATAAAGAAAGTTTTGTACGCCGCCAATTCAAGAATGTTATCGGAGACAAAGTCCTTGTACGCCGCCAATTCAGGAATTTCATCGGAGACAAGGAAAGAATGTCAAATGCTGAAAATAGCCGACTGGCTTGATCTCTGGTACCTGGAAACTGTACGAACATGTGCGATGGTTCAGGAATGTAGTTGTTACCCGAGTTGTTCGCCTATACAGACCGTATAATGTAGGGTCTGTGGCCATGGCCTATACTACGTGTTGTTTTCTTGTCTATCAATTATTTTACATAAGCTTAATACAGACATTGATTATGATCATTAACCTCTGTTGTGTGTTATAACCGTATTATTGCTCGTTAAACCAGGTTAAACTTTTAATCAGTTGGTGAATTCGCATTAGATTATTCATCAATCGGCAGACACTGCACACTCGTTGCCCTATCTAATACAAGCGTAACCACGGAAACGTGTATTTCTATTGTTATCTTCTCTATGAAGGGCGTGTACACTTAAAGTTCTGGATTTTAGGGCGATGTATTTCGTGTTTTTTCGTGCTTGAAATCAATCATTTAAGAACGTATAGGCCTAGACATAATATACAATGAAACATAAAGCATCAAATACTGTAAACTTTAATAATATTACGAAAAATATAATAAAAATCCACTGATTTTTTTTTTTTGATTTTTTTTTCTAAAATAATACACAGAATCATTGAAAAAAAGCAATGCCGGTCGGTAGACTGTCAGTGTCGGTCGGATATTTTGAGTGCCGGACGGGGCATAAATAATGTGACTTTTTGTGGCATTTATATACTTTCTGCTTCAAAATCAATCAATCATTTAAGAACGTATTATAGGCCTAGACATAATATACAACGAAACAAAAGCATCAAATACTGTAAGCTTTAATATTATATTACGAAAAATATAATTTAGCAGTATATTAATATTATCAACATTCTTCTTTCTCTTCTTCAATATATGCATCGACACTGTAATATGAAAATAATAAAATCCGTTGGTTTGATTATCAACATATAAATTTGTTT